ATATCAAAAAGTGTTTATATTGAAATGAACTAATAAAATTCAATCAAACTAAAATATGAATGAAGTATTAATAAAAGTATAATAATCGTATGAATTATTTGTAATATTTTATTTAATTTTGTTTATTATTCAAATTCTGAAAAATTAATTCATCATGATGATTTGTCAATAAAAAAACACGAATTCCATTTTTTCTTTTTGTGACTTAAATATATTAAAAAATATATTTAAATAAATAATAATTTATTTTTATCAAAAATATTTAAAAAGATAAAATTAAATGACAGAAAAATATATGAAATTTTTATAATAAATTTATTAATTTTATATGTTAAATATAAATAAGTCTGTCTTCTTGATTTCAGTTATTAATTTATTGATTTTCCTCTCTTAAAGTTTTTCTTAGCTAACCATTTTTTTATTTAATAACATAATATATTATTTTATTTATTTTGAAGTAAAAGCGGCCCAAATAACAACTTTCATAAATTCTTTTTAGGTATGAATAGAAATAAGTTAGGTCAAAATTTTCTATTTTAGTTTCATAAAAATCTAAATAACACTCTTAACAAAAAGATAAGTTTGAGATTTTAGCTAACAACTCTTTAATCGCTTTCTTTGAAAATGTATTGGACCTATAAAAATTAATTATAATTTTTTTAAGGTTTTATTAATCTTTAATGAAATTAATCAAACACTAGATTACGTCATCACTAAATAGAGAGTTTCCTAAATAGAATCTAAATTCAACTAAGTTAGATTTTATAGATTTTATAAAATCAATAACTGTTTAAGAATCAAATTTTTCACTTCCTAGATGAACTTATACGTTTCTTAAATTCTAAAAAGACCCTTCATTTGTTAATTTTGTTATAAGTTATAAGGTTTTAGGATTTATTTTTAGGTTTTTTTCAAAGTTAAATAAAAGCTTTTATAATTGCTTTTATTTAGAGAGCAAATCAATAAGATTTAGTATTGGTTTATCTGATATCAATGTTGAATTTTTTAAATTCAATTCAAACTCTACTAGTTTTGTAGTTTGCCTTAAACTTTAAACAAGTAAATTAAGAGAGTCATCTGATGCTGAGGCTAACTCCATATTAAATCTTAATATGCTAATTTTCTACAGATCATTTATAGCATTACCCAGATTTCCTAAGGCTACTTCATCTATTTTATCACTTTTAGGAAACTTCAAATTTAATTCTTCAATTTATTTATTTTGCGCAATTATTTTTGATAGATTTATAACTGATTCTTTTTCTATAGAATAAAGCCCTAAAAATTTTAGGACTAAGCTAATAAGATTTTAGTGATTTGCTATTGAATTAATTATTTAGCTAACTTATTCAGAGCTAAAATATTCAAATTTGTTACAAGAATTAAAGAAAAGTTTTATTTTTTGGAGTTAATTTTAGTTTTGAATAAAATTAGTTAGTTCTTTTACATTTGATATTCCCTTTCCCAAAGAATCTATTTAAAGGTCTATTACTTTAAGTTGGTTATATTCAGGAATTATTTTAGTGAAACCCTAAAAAAATGAAACGAAATTTGCTTATGAATCTAATTTATTTTTGAGGAATTTCAATGATAGAATTTTGAGTTAGGTTGATTAACTTAAAATATTTTGATAAAAATTTTCTATTAAATCAGGGTTCATTTATTACTTAACTCTAACTTTTATCTACAAGCTATTAAGCTATTTTTTAAGTGGATCAAGTCCATTAGTGATACTACTGATAATTTCATCAAAATTTTGTTTTCCAAGATTTAAATTAATATTCTATAAATTTGGATATAAGTTGGATAAATCGCTTAAATATTAACAAATTATTTTGTTGTCATTTGAAATATGTTTACTAATTCCTATACTTAAATCCCTTAATTGAATTAAACTTTATCCACTTAAAAGTTGTATTAACTTGTTTAATTATTATTTTGATTTTGTTTAATTAATAATATTAAGGATTTGTAGCTATTGGCAAAATGGCTTTATTAGAATTAAAGATTCAGTGATATATGATAATTAAGAATGGATATTTTTGGTTATTATAACTTTAATTTAATCTGATTTTTCTAATGTGTTTGGTTAAATTTCTATTGACTTTTATTTCTTTTATTTAAGAATTCTTATTTTATTTGGAACGGTCTCATATTTATGTAAAAACTTCAAATTCCCAAATTTTGAATACTATTCAACCTATTTATTAAATTCAAATATTTTTAAATTCTCCTAAATTAATTATATTTGTGATTGCGTTGGATTAAATATCTTTGGTTCTTCTTTTTCAAAGTGCTAATGTTGAATTTTTGACATTTCTGTTGTGAATTTTTAGCTTATTTTAGAAAAATTTTCTAAAAATTCATTAAAAATTTAAAACCTTTTATTTTAAAAGTTTTAAAAATTCTCTTCTCTCTAAAATATCTCAGCTATTTCTTATTAAAACTCTTACAACCCTAAATAACCTTTTTTAAAGTTATTTATAACTTGCTACAGGTCATAAATTACTGCTTTTTGGTCTGTTTTAACTTTTTTCTTTGCTTCGCATATATAACCTTAGGTTTTTAGAGAGTATTCTAATAAAAAGTATCTGATTTAATCTTCTATTGATTTAAAATTTTTTTCATATTCTTAAAAATTTGAATCTACTTATCTAAGGTTCATTTTTTAGATCCTTTCAATCCTTTTATTTTTTCCTTCAAATATCTTGTTTATGTTTAACAGATTTTACTAATCCAAATCTTTTTTACATTTTTTGCAAATAAATATGTTATAATTATTTTGTTTATAATAGTAATTTAGATATTTAAGCTCTCTGTTGTGCTCTTTGCAAAAATATTTTTAATCTAAATTTACAATTTACTAACTTTCCATTACTTCCTTAATTTTTTTTATTTTCTTTTCTTAATATTTTACTTTAATTAAAATTAATTATAAAAAAAGAAAAATAAATTCCTTTTTTAAAGAACTTCTTATTTTTAATAAAAATAAAAGATTTATATCATTTTTATCTATTAACACAATCAATCTAGTTTCAAGTAATTATAAAAATAAAAAATTTTTATATAGTTTAGAATTTTACAAATGCTACTAAGAAAAATTTCCCTCATTATCATAGTTTTCAAGGAGTTTATTTTCACTTGCTCCTACAAGTATTTAGGCTGAACAGTAGTTTTCATAAATTAAAAATCAAAATAATCCTTTCTAAACAGATAAATCATCAATAAAAGTGGAATAAAATTCTTATATAAAATTTAACATATAAAATAATTTATTAGACATTAATGAAATAAAAAAAATATACCTTAGAAATAATTGATTTAATTTATTTTTATATTATTAATGTTATAAACTCTTAAAATTCAAAGGAAAAAAATAATGTAATAAAAACATTTTAATTTTTTTTGTCTTTGAAGTAATATTTCATAATATATTTATTTTAAATTCAATAAATAATATTCTTAAATAAAAATAATTAGTTTTTTATTTTACTTACAGAACAAATAAAGCTTAATATTTAATATAAATATATTATTAATAGGGAAAAATGAAATTTAAAATTGATAAATCTTTTTAGTTAAAAACTATAAAATAATATGTATTATTAATATTTAACAATAATTTTCAGATATTTAACGTATTATCTATTTCATATTCAGTAAAATAAATTAAATTTATTATCTTTATCCGCCTTGTTAACAGAATTTAATTTTATTTATTTATTAGAGTTATCCTCTTTATCTTTTTAACTCTCTTTCTAATCCATCGCTATATTTAATTCTTCGAATCCTAATATTTAATTAAAAAATTTAATGATTAAAAAAAAATAATTATATATATTACATTAAAAAAGAGGAGATTAGTTTATCTAGCTGCTATATACAGTATTTGTGTTATTTTCATTATCTTTATCAAAGTAATCGCTTTAAGAGTTTATTTTTTGTTATTTTACAGTAGCTAAGTATTTTTGTTTTGATTTTATTCATTTATTAGAGTTATCCTCTTTATCTTTTTAACTCTCATTCTCATCCGTTACTAAAATTAATTCTTCGAATTCTAATTTTTAATTAAAAAATTTAATGATTAAAAAAAAACTATTAAAAATATTACATAAAAAAATAGGAGATTAGTTTATCTTGTTGGTATATACAGTATTTGGGCTATTCATATTTTCTTAATCAAAGTAATCGCCTTCAGAGTTTTATTTTTGTTAATTTTCTGTAGCTAAGTCATTTAGTTTATTTTATTTAACAGTCTAATTAATCTACTAATCTTTAAATAGTCTTTTATGATTTTTACCTATAAATTAAATATATTAAATATAAAAAATAACTAGAGTTTTAATACTTATTTATATCTTTAAGCCAGAGAATAAAAGATCATACTTTTGCTCTTCACTAAGTTTTAAAAATTCTTAAAAAATTCTTTTTATTTTAGCTTTCAATTAAGGATTTAATTTTTATTTTTGAAACTTTTGAACAAGCATCTTTGTATAAGAAAATTTTTTTAAAAATGAAATGATAACATTCTTTAATTACATTAAAAGTCCTATAATAACTCTTTTAATTATTACAATAATAAACCAAGCATTGATTGTGATTATAGTTATAATAGAAGTCATTACGTAATAATTGAACGGATTATTGCTAATGAATAAACAAAGTAATACAGAAACTGCACACACATTTGTTTGATAGAAATCAACTATATTATACCCGCTCAAACGATAGGGTTATAAAACACTAGATGCTATCCCATAGAGAGAAATCACCATAAAAATTAGCACTCCTTTAACATTAGTTTCTTGGGAATAGAAGTTAAGAATTATAATGATTAAAATTTTTTCTAAAATTTTCACGAATTCCCAATAATAGTTTTGGCTTTTATACTCTTTATATAAAAAGCTATATTTCTTATATACTTAAATGTTTTGCAGTCATTTTTATTTTTGTATAGTATATAAAAAAGTCCAATAGGTATAATAAAAGCAAACACTAATAAGCAAGGAGCTACAAAGATAGAACTATAGGTCTAGTGCTGGCTAGTGTTGCATTCATAAGTTATATTATAGAGTATATAACTAGAATCTCCAATTACCCTACATGAAAGAATAGCTATCATTTGAGAAACTAAATCAGGCTAAACTAAAATAAATATAAAGATCGCAGCAGTACAAATAGAATAATAACGAACTTCTATATTTGTAAATACCCTTTATAAAATTAAGCTAAGTATAAACACCATTAAATAGCCAATTGGAACTGTGAGAGTAAATAGTAGTTTAAGATATATCATTGGTATATCTGTTTATATATCTTTTAATATACATTCAGCAGAATTCATTTATTATCTTACAGGTGCTCCTAAATACTATGAAGTATCAAATATATCTTTTGTTTGTTTGATAAAATTTAAAATATTATTTTCATCTTAAAAAATTTAGTTTATATAAATAAATAATTTTTATAAATTAATAATTTTAAATTTAAAAAATTTTAATTTTTTTTACCTGTAGTTATTTTTATATTGAAAGTAATAATTGATCCTATTATTTGTAAATAGTTAACGAATACTTTAATATAAACACTAGCTTTTTCTCCATTTCGAGATTTTCTATCTTTTTGGTTATCATATTTGACAATTAATTTAGATTAATATTTAGTCCCTTTTAAGGAAGTGCTTTGATTATTCTTTGATAAGTGTCTTTTCAGAGCTACTTAAAAAGCATTTATTGTTTATTCCTCTAAGTCTCCTTTTACGGCAAGTCGAATTGAAAATAAAGTCCAGATTACTATTAAAATTGCTTTCAACAATAAAGCACTCAATTCTTTACATTACGCACATTAATAAGATCCAATTTTAGAATAACTCTCTCCCCAATAGCTTCCATAAATCTTATTAATTTTAAATTTATTGTTAAAGTAATATTTAAAAAGATGTATTTACATCACATTATTCACATAGAGGTCCTATGTAACCTTCTAAACATACTTAATTACCATAAGTATTTCCAATACAGTTTGAAGGCTTATTTACACATTCTATAACAAGAGGACTACTTTCATCTTTTCTCCAGAATCCTTAATTTACATATATAATTCCATTTTTGCATTTTGCTCCAGAAGGACATGCATAGCATTATTGTTTATCGACAGAGTATTTATCTTAGTCACAGACAACACATTCTGTATATGTATTGTAAAAATTCTCAACTTCACCATAATTACAACTTCTAAAATAAACTTCTAATTCATAAGAATAGTTAGACTCAAATTAATTAGTTTATTTATTTAAAATTTTTATAACATCAGATTTGAACTCAATTATTGCTTTTGAATTTGGAATCCCTATTAATTATATACCTTAAAAAACAAATTATTTTTATTTTAAATCAACAAATGCTGTAGAATTTCCTCTAATGTAATAATTTGATATATTTTTTGTTTTGCTGCTAAATTATGCTTAAATTATTATTTTATCAGCATCTAATGGAAATATTGGTTTAGCTGTTTAATCTTTTAGCTAAAAGATTATATCTGGAATTTATGCTCCACTTTTAATATTTGATAAAATTAAAGAATTAGTTGACTAATTGAAGTATTTATTTAAATCTGTAGTCATGATCAAACCTAAATGATCAGGATAGGAATTGATATTATCTCCATAAAGAATGGCCTTGTTATTCAAAATAATGCTTTAAGAATCTATAACTGGATTTATACCTAGATTATTAATGCATCCTCCGATAACTGCTTTATTATTTGATAGATTTGTTTTATAAATTTTGATCTATTACTGTACTGTTGATTCATTTTCTGAGTTAATAAATAATGCCCCACCACTTCCATTTAAAGATTGATTGTCAGTAAATTAGCAATTAGACAAAGTTAAAGAAAAAACCTATTAATTGTATGATTAAAAATTTTAAATTATTTAAAAAAAAAAAGTATTACATCATCATTTTAGGCTATTAAAAGCATAGCTCCTCCATCTGATATGGCAGTATTTCCAATCATTTGAGTATTTTATATATAATTAAGATTAGAAACCAAACCATTAATTGATATAGCACCACCGTTATTGGCCTATTTTTAAATAAATATTTAAATTACATAAAAGCTTGTATGATATTAAATTATTTTAATCACTTTTGATTCTAAAAACATAGAGTCAGATATAAAAAATTGTGTTTAGTTCAACTAAAGTATAGAACCAAAGCATAGCATGCAAATTATTTTCTAAAATAATGTTTATTATTAAATTTATAATTTAGATTAATATAATGATATAAGTGCTCCTGAATTTAGCAGAGAAATCTAGGATTGTAATACTCGTTTTGAGGATATCTAATTTATATTTATAAATTAAGAATCTTCAATTGTTAGAGCTCCTTAATTGACACTAATTAAGTATGTGGAAAACGTAGAGTCTTTAATTATTAATCTTTAAATTACAATACTCGTATTAATACCATTAATTAGAAGAGGGGAAGTATTTTGTAAATTTTTTATTATTAAATTTTAAAATCCGCAATCAACAATTGAGAGCATAGATTTTTAAAGTTAGAAAAATGACACTGATTAGATTTCAGATAGCTTTGCTATTAGATTCAAATAATCAGGATAAGTTTAGTTAAAATTATTATTATCAATATTAAAAAGAGTAACATTAGAATTTTAGGTATTCAAAAAATATGAGTTCGTCTAGCCTAAAATATTGGTTAACTCTCCTTAATAGAATAGAATCTAGTTTAATAAATTCTAATTTTCTGATTATCTGAATATTGATAAAAAAAAAATTTAATATTATTTTTAATTTTCATTATTTTATGGTAATAACTCTATGTTAATAAATATTTTTATTGAATCCCATTGATTAAATGCACACCTGGTGCTCAAAAAAA